CCTAAAACTGTTGACTTTTTTTCTATCCAGTTTCATGTATAGACGTCACCTCTCAGTTGTGATTTAGAAGGGAAGGGGGGAAAAAAACATATCGGGGGCAGTAGTCATCGGACATGCTCTTGTAGTCTTTCCCCTTGAGACTGGTTGGCCCGAATGTAGGAGGATCATCTTCTATCTTCAGTCCGTTTTGGGCTGCTGAGTGCGTCGCAGTCTCACTTTATGGCAGTGTTGTGATTAAAGCTGCTTTTGTCCCTCCACTCGCACCTGCTACTTTCTAGTGTCATTTCAGAACTACTCCGGAAACGCTGCAGTTTCAGTGTCGGTATCACAGAACGGTTGTTAAAAACTTGGCAATCATTCTTGCTGATGCATTTGTTAAATGAATGGGTGCGCAGTGTTTTAAGTCATTATATCATTAGAACAGGGTTGTAATACCTTTAAAGTGTCACTCCAGGCTAAAATGGTAATCCGTGTTTTGCAAGGTTCTCCTAATGTGCACATTACCGATATGCTCCTGTTCCTTAGCCTAACTTATTTTAAAGAAATGACCCGGTGATCCTGCCATGTCCCTGCTCCTGAGCTGCTTTCCTGTGCTGGTCTGAAGAAATGGCTCATCTTTCTCTGCGTTGTCAGCACCTGAAAGCTTGGCAACTTAGTAAAGCATAATAGCTTCCTCCAGCGTGCATGCGCTGAAACTATGCCTGAGCTCCGGCAGCGCTCATACAGCTTCTCCCTCACTTAGAAGTGCCGGGATGAATCATGGGAAGTGGAGTACAAGGTGGCAAAAATTTCTTCCCATCTTTTCGTCAGTCCTCGGGGAAGTCTCCTTACCAGGGAAAGGACCAGCATCGAGGGCTGGCTCTGGTTAGGCAGCTTGCATGAAAATGTGGTTACCCCTCCAATGGGTACCCCACTAAAAAGCATTAACCAACAATGGGCACCAGCCAGAATAGGGAAAGAGTCCAAATTGCTTTAATGGTTCACATTATGGGCCAAAAAAAAATATCCCCCTTCATCAGAGCTTAAGTTCTAGTGTCCCGAGCCTGGTGGAGCCCAGGTTGATTGGAGGCCTTCCCTTACTCCTCCTGTCTAGTGTCCCCTGAGAACAGGGTAAAGCAGGAAGAGGAGTGGCATGGCAGCTCAGCAGACAGTCTGGGAACTGGTGGAAGCCACGAGAAGAACCAAGGTTGGGACATGCAAGGTCAAAACAATACTTCAATGTCCAGTCCGGGCACAAGTACATTTTAAGGACACATTCACACTACAACTCTGTGCACTGCAACACACATGTTGTCATGCTTCAAGGCATACGCCGGTATGTTAAACAGTCAATTTAAAATAAAATGTCTGGACTGCACCACAACGCACATGAAAACAGGGCCGCCTAATTTATTGCAAATCACAGGACACCATGCATTAACATTTTTTAAGGTACACAGTGAATGTCACTGCAGTGCTGCATCGCACATTAGCACAGTGCAATGCTGTGAATGGGTCCTGTTACTGGACTCCAGGCAGGTATTTAAAAAACCCCAATGTATACAGCTCTGTAGCCATTTTTCTTAATTGTTTAATCAAACTAACAGTAGAACACAGACTGGAAGAGCGAGGAGCAGCCCTAGGGGCCAATCGGGTGTAGTGCATGCAGATATGCTGACAGTAGAAGAGAGCATGAGGTCATAAGTCTGCTTCCCCTTCCTTGTCCAGTCATGCTGGGGGCAGGGAAGTGACCTCATTTATATTAATAATAAATAATAATAAAATTATTCTAAAACTATAATAATATATACTAAGGCCTGGTTCACACCTGAACGTTTTGTTGCGCGTTCAACGCTCGACGAACGCTCTACAAAACGCTCAAACATCTAAATCCCATTGTATTCAATGGGTCTGGTTCACACCTTGCCGTATTTCCGCCCGTCCGAACGCGATAAAAAAAGGCCTACGCCCAAAGAAGTACATGCACTTCTTTGGGGCGCTTTGGTCTCGCGTTTCCATTGGGATACAACCAAGTAGCCCACAGAAACGCGTGCTTGTCGCACGTTTTTTTTACCGCATATCGCGGTAAATACGCGCGACGCGAACCACGCGACAAACGCACATATTCAATACGCCTAGGTGTGAACCCAGCCTAATAATAATGCTTAATTGTAATTGCAGAGAATCAGGTGACCAACAAAGGTGTGCAAATCCTTTGTCTAGTAAAACACCTGCCTATATGTGTGTGTATGTATGTATAGATAGTTATAT